ACCAGGCTGCAGTTTGCAAAAAAAAATCATTATTCACAGATGCACACCCATAAATTGAGAAATGAGAGAAAAAATTGTGCTGTGGTCTCTTCATTTTTTCCGCGGCTGAATGATTGGTCCATGCTTAGACGATGGTTTAGCTTCCCTTAGAATGGACGACTAGCTGGACCAATGGGGCGTGTCACTGAATCTCTGATCCCTGTGCTGCCTGCGGCTCATTCATTTCTTCGTTTCCTTGGTGCCTGTCTTTCATTTATAAAGTTCTCCTGGCGTGCTGCATATGGACCGGTGTGCTGGTTACCCCTTTCAGCAGCCGAGGGCTCGATCCACGGCCCCGGCTCTGTGTTAGTGCAGTTCCCATGCTCTCCCTGTGTTTAACCAAAGACTCTGGTTGGGTTTGGTGGTAATGGGAGTGTGTGAGTGATGAGTGATGAGCTGCTATGGACGGCTTTGTGCCTCATGCTGCCTGGGACAGACTGTACCCCCCCCCCCCTCCCTCCCGCATGACCCTGTACTGGATAATTCATCAGAAGATGGATGGCAGGTGGTTATTATGATGCCGATTAATCATTTTCACAACTCTACATACAATGTTAGCTTTTTCAGGCATTGGGGGGGCACCCAGGCCTGGGAGAAAAACCTGCCAACAATTAAATCAATATAAGCAACAGACTGGAAAGTATGCTCTGCACTGATCAAAGGTCAGCTTAGGATATTTTTACCGTGTTATTCCACAGGCTTGAAAGCACAGTGATGCTCTCAGTGTTTGAGGGCACGTCAAGTGGGGCTGTACTGTCATGTCACCTACACAGCAGCACAGAGAGGTGTGAGATCCCCCCCATGTAGGAAGTAGCAAACATGCACACGGGGTCACACAAGGTGCAAATCACCAGGGCCAGAAGTCACACAGAGGACATTTTAAATACACACAATAGCCTGAAGGAAATGCAGAGTAGCAACAAATGAATCCTGAATGGGTGACTAAATGACTGTAAACCGTAAACACAGCAGTGATGATTTACTCCGTCAAAAGTAGGGAATGATGCTGCCATGAACAGGATTCATAGGCATGAACATTTGTGTCATGTATGTGTTCTTCTGTTATGGGGAATTTGGAAGGAAATAAAAAGCCCTAAGAGACAGCCAGCCCTGCAGCGGCGGAGTCCCTGGCACCTGCATCCTGAGCCACGAGCTTCATTTGCCACAGAGTTGCATCAGACTTGGAGCTCCTCCCCACTGCAGCTCTCCAAAGGCTCCGTGACAGGCCGCCCCGCCCCTCAGAGCTTTGGAGGGGAACAACAAGGGGATCCGTGCAGGTGTTTACACCAGGAGTGGGGCCAGGTCATGGAGACCACACTGCAGAATGATCATTCTAATTACACAACAAGGTTCACATTCATACACAGTTTTGTTTTGTGTTCATTCAACCCCATATGGCCGACACTAATACGGAGTACATTGAGATGCTTACTTTTCTGCAGGCAGACACAGGGTAACAACATACAGGACAAACATTAAGAGTAGCATAAATGCAAGGCAGTAATGATGGGGGTGAGGCTACTTATATCGAGTCCGATTCAAGACCTTCAAGGGTACAGTCTGAGTCAAGACTCAGACCTTCAAGGGTACAGTCTGAGTCAAGAACCAGACCTTCAAGGGTACAGTCTGAGTCAAGATCCAGACCTTCAAGGGTACAGTCTGAGTCAAAACCCAGACCTTCAAGGATACAGCCTGAGTCAAGGTCTAGACCTTCAAGGGTACAGCCTGAGTCAAGGTCTAGACCTTCAAGGGTACAGTCTGAGTCAAGGTCTAGACCTTCAAGGGTACAGTCTGAGTCAAGATCTAGAATTTGAGGGAGGCAAGACCAAGTTAAGACAGACCATGGTTTTAATTATGGGCCTACTTATTAACTATCACCATCACTCCTGCTAATAATAAAAAGTAAAATTGTATTATAGCATCATCGAAAATGTTGTCAAGAGATATATTTTTTTTTGCTTTGCTGATGAGCATTGGACGGGATGGCAGCTGTTTCTGTGATCAATGTTTTGTATAACTTGCAGATCCGTGCTATTGAACTGAACAACGATCAAGAATGATTCATGACTAAAGAACTAGCAAGTGACACAACTTTCCCAATAAAGCTGAATGTTCTGATACTGAGAGGTAGACATCGGGATCAGTGGACATCGGGATCAGTGAGCATCAGGATCAGTGGCTGTTGCTGGCCTTTTTACAGTCGATTGCCAAACACTGGCACCACCCAGCCACAGCTGTGTTTTCTGTACACATCCTCGGAAATACTGTCCATGGATGCAGATGTTAGTCACAATTTGATTACACAGTAACTTTTACAGACGCATGTCTGTTATTACATTTAGGGTTACTGTGAGTGAAGGGACATTAAGCTGTCACCTTAATGAAACTGTATGAGGGTCATGATATGTGTGAACTTACAGAGAAAAAATTCTTTGTCAATCTGAAACGAGATCTGTTCTAAAAGCTGAACATTTCATAATCCTAGTCTGACAGATACATCATAATTAGATTAGATGGTAACACTTACTTACTTGAGGGAGCACAAGTAACTCGGTAACTCAGTTACTGCTAAAGTACAAATCACGAACAAATATGGTAACTACATGAAATGCATGAACAATTATGATTGAACAAACATGGGATCAGTAAGTAACTAACGTTTAGTTTCTGAATAATGAATACATTAAGTAAGAGTATATTACTACATTATTTGTGCAGCCTCAAGTAAAATGTTACTGATTAGATAAACTTCATTGATCTAAATGGGGAATTCTTGTAATCAAAGCGAATACAGTGACAAGAAGGTTAATCCTCTGCTCACCACGCCCACAGGTCAACTAAGTCAATACTCCATACTCAGTATTTCAATGTTTAATTGTCCTGGGAGGTCCGTAATGCGTTTCTAATATATTCATCTCTTAAGCTGTTTTCTTCACTCATACAGACTTACCAGTTTAAAAGCAACATCCATCTCCCCACGTTACACAGATAGAACAAATAGATTATCTGGCGTCTGTCTCCCCCTATTGATAAAAGAATATAAGGGCAGCCATGTACAATTTAATCGACTCGAACCATCGCAAACCATTTTCTGGTTAATATTTGATATATGGAAAGAGTGCACCTGTCAGCAGAATTAGCAGCCCATAAAAAGATTGATATTATTCTTTTATAATAGCGAGTGCCCCAGCTCATAGGACAAAAAATGAATATTGTTCGAATCGTATGTGATTGCTTGAACAATTCAGAGATTTGCATTATGGGAAACGGGGGTTACAGTAACACCACCCTGAGATGTCGGCTACTGCAGACATGCGGTTTACAAGCATCCCCACGTGATAAAACTAACAGGGTACGCTTGACATTGCTATTTTCGGGGTCCACAAGAAACAGCAAGAGATCCGCACATTTATATTACAGCCTTATGTTGAGTTACATCTGCACGAGTCACGTTCCATTGGATTGGATTTTCATAGTAAATAATACGCACTGCTCAAGAGACGTCCGGAAGTGGGCGTCGTACGATGTTAGTGGGTGTATCGCTTAAGATGAAAGGGCCGAGAGAATGGGCAGTGCTGCCAGCCATATAATGATCCACTGGCCATATCCAATGTGTAATGCAGTATTCATACAGTAAAGTAAAGGTGATGGACAGCTACAATGCTGAAAGGCACCCAGTCTGAGTTGTGCCCAGTGATCCCGGTCCCAAATGCATGCACTATTCGATGCAAGGCTGTATTTTAAATTCATAAGGACTTCATTATTGATGTTTTGTATGTTTTATAGATTGCGTTTTAATTTAGAATATCAGTACAGATTACCACACATTTATTTATTCATTAACATATAAGTGGCTTAAATGTTTAAAGGCTGAAACATGTTTCCTCGGTGGTTGTTTGGTGAATAGGCAACTGTAAGGACATTTTTAAATGAATTTTGAATGCATGTATATGATTCAAAGACTACAACATTATCGTCATTTGTACAAGTATGGGGACAAGTACAATGAAACACTTATTTCTGTTGCTTCCTATAGACTTAGGCATCCCCTAACATAGCGAAGTGAACAGCATCTATTCTGTTGCAAAGGGCTGGGTAAGACTTAGGCATTGATGTAATGTATATTATGCAAGTTTGTGACATGCTACATACTCAGTTTTATGTATACAGTCTCATTATGGTGGGAGTCATAACAGAAAAATATTTGGTACAATACTTAAAACAATTTTGAAATGTAATAGTTTATAATGTTTTGTAGTCTGTTGTTGAGGCATGTATTTAATGAAAAAAAGCATGTTTGTGGAATTTGCTATCTACCGCAGTGCATGATGTGTACAACATGTGGAGGCTACTTAAATTTCATCATCTGCAACTGCTGCCACTGGCGTAGACAGGCCCTAAGTGTGAATTTGGAAGGAGGGGCATGGTCTGTTTTAGGCTCAAGGCCCAGTGTATTATTGCTACACCAATGAAATACAATATACATACAATGGGTACATTAAACTTACAATATGCACCATATACAACAACCTACACTGTAAATACCCAGTATACCATTCAAGAACGAAGTACTGAATTAGAATTTATGTGCATGGTAACCCTTTATGTGCATGACACACCCTAGACAACATGCCAATCCAACACAGGACACATGCACTTCAAAATATATTAAGAGCAGCATAGAGAAACCGATGAAAAGTCTATAAGTGATCTAAGCAACTGCTACGGGTCCAGTGGCAACCCCTAACACCCAGAAGGATTATATTTTGCTCTGTAGGTGGGAACAAAATTGACTAATATATATATATATTTTAGAGCATTCTTCTAGTGAAAATGGACACTTCTAAACCGGAAATACTTCCTTGCCGCACGTCAGTCTGCCTAACACAGGCATAAAATTTGAGTTTATCTTCCGTATCTGCTCAGCCCAATCTGGACCCCGCTTCCTGATCACGTGGTTGTATCCGCCTAGGGGCTCTCCAAGCGCCAGTGCACGAGCCCGTTCGCTGCACGAGGTGTCGACGGCGCGCACGCTGGCTTTGCGGAATGTTCTGGGCAGCTTCCCGTGAATCCTTCGAAACGGTTTATCCTGCTGGTGTGCTTTATGACCCCATTCATTTTTCTATTTTATTTAGACTGAAATAACTCTAGGCATTTCCTCCAGCTCACGATGCAGACGCTCACCCCGCACGTTTACTGGGCTCAGCGGCACGGCGAAATTTACCTGCGCGTGGAGCTGAGCGACGCTCAGGTATGTGACGGTGATGGTGACAGTGAGAGAGGAGCCGGGTACGGTGGGGCATGGGCAGGCGAGCCGCCTCCCGGGGCGCATAACTGTTTTTAATTGTAATGTCGATGCCAGCTGACGAGGAGGCAGCAGCCCTCTCTTGATTACCTGCTGGAGTAGTAACAGGGGGAGGGCGTTACATGGTCTTCGGCGTCCATCATCTTTGCAGCAAAACAAGTATAAGCATGTCATTATACTACTGCTCTTCTGTAAAAATGCCCAAAAAGTTTGTTTAATAAGTCCCATCGGGTTGACCTGCTTCTTTTAAAACATGTCGCTATCTCCATTGGTTGTTAAAATTTTAAAAATGTCCAGTTTTGGCTCTCTTCAAAGCGTGCATAAAATAATGTGTCAGCTGGACAAACAGGTTTTTTTATAATTTATAACCAAAAGGGTTAATGCAGTTTTGCCGAAGAGCCATGTTTACTCTATATTTTAATAAAGGCTGCGTGGACCTGCGCGTGTCCGTGTCGCGTGGGCGCTGCGCATGTCTGTGTCCAGTAATGTCAGCGGTCCGGCCAAAGGTCCAGCAGTACACCAGTGTTAAATAAAGAGAACCGCAATTTGATATTGGACAAAACATGTGAAGTTAAGGAAATAATTATGGTATTAATACAGTCACGTGTTAATCTTTAAGTATTTAGAATGTGTCGTGTTACATGCATCTTCCTGTTTGATTATTTAATATTATTGTGAGCATCGGTGTATGTTCTGTAAAACCCTTGCTTTATGGAGGAGTTTGCCCTGTGGCATTGTGTTCACTTGACACCTGCCTGGAAATATGAACCGCCATTTGAACGGCTGTATTTCGTTGCAAAAACAGGTGGTGCTCGTATGTATATTTTATGCAAATAGGTTGTCATGCTCAGGCCTTATTCATTTAAATAATAGTACTTAACAGGGAACCTCTGGTGCTCTCTGTGGGTCGGCAGCAAGATCGAGGCAGGTTCCCGGTGTTTTTCTGCACCATGGCCCCGTGCAGAGCGCTGTTGTGGCAGGGTTCTCGATTTGCATTTCAAAAGGAGGCTCCTCCTGAGCACAAGGAGTTGTTGTCATCCTGTGGTGGGGATCATATAGCAGGTTTTAAATAAAGATGAAGCCTACTGAGCTCCTTTTAAAGTTCCTTTGCTTTAAAAATATGTCGTTGCTTGTTTTAAATGCCTGATTTTAATTGCAGAGGTCATGGTTTCGCAGCTAAGCTGACCAGCAATATTAGTTAAATGAATCAACTGTTATGAATGTACCATTCTTAAGAATCTCTGCAGATGGTAACGTCATATATGAGCATGTTATACCTTGTGCATAGTGGGTCAGTTGTGGAGACATTCTCTCAGATGACTGCTATACTGTAGCTCGAAGAGAAGACTGTGTTTTCTGTGAAGAGCAGCTTTAGAGCAGCCTGGGGAGTTTTTTGATAGTAGAAACTTGATAACATCAGTTGAGACATTTGTGAAATCAACAACCATCTTCCTATAGTTCCTCTTATCATGTATAGTGTAGTAACTGTAAACGTTTTTTTCTTTTTGTGGAGACTGCGGATGTACGTGCTGGGCAGGGGGCAGGGGGGGTGGAGGCTGTGTTCCCCTTCTTTGTTCCCCCGTGTCTCTCGTCGTCTTTGCTAAGTCACCGATCGTGTGTGTTCTTCTGCAGGACCTCGATATCAGCGTGCATGAGAACACCCTTCACTTCAGAGGTAATTTCTGATGTGCACGAAAGCTCGATTTGCATTCGTCTATATTTAGATGAATGCACGCAGATATCGTTCTCAGGTAATTTTAATGTTTGCTCACTGTCCTGTTTTCCAGCCCAGGGTCATGGAGCGAAGGGAGACAATGAGTATGAGTTCAGTTTGGAGTTTCTGGAATCAGTGGAGCCCCAGGTACGAGTGATTGTAAGCCGTGGCTGTTGCTGAGGTGTCTCTGCTTTGGGGTTCTCTCTTAAAATGATGTGTGTGTTGGTGTCTGAGTGTCAGTACACAGCCTCAGAAGAATGGCTTATGTGTGTTGGTCTCAGGGGCAGTACACAGCCTCTGAACACCAGTCTATGTGTGTTAGTACAGTGTTTTCCCTACGTTTACAGCTTTTTTGGGGGGGGGGCGCAGATGGACACCGACAGCTGTCAAAAAAACGCAGATATTTTTGTCTGCTTTTCAGGTGGTTGATGCGACATTATCCGACGCGCTCTCTGTCCGCTGGTGGGAGTGTGCTCACCTGTGTGTGCGCATACGTGTCTGTGCACACGCATCAGGGCGGAACTCCGCCATGCGCGATACAGAGAGCAGAAGAGAATTGTAAACGCGTGACCGTGTAGAGACAAAAATGACAAGCTGTTGTGTAAATAAGATAAATAACATAAGGCTATTCAATTTGTTTAATAAAAGGACAATGTATAGACCTGTTCTGTAGGAAAGGTAACCTTAAATGACTTCTGTTGTGATCTGGTGCTATATAGAAAATAAAATTAAATAAAATTAACTTGACTTTCAAGGGGGGACAGGAGATGCTGTTGGTGGGGCAGAGCGCCCTCCTAATATGATGGTAGGGGAAACACTGTAGTATCTGAGTGACAGTACATGGCCTCTGAACACCGGCCTGAGCACGTGTGTGTGTTCAGGTGACTCACAGGTCCACTCAGCGTCAGGTGAACATCACAGTCAGGAAGCAGGAGCACTCGTGGTGGGACCGGCTAACGTTGCAGGAACGCAAGCCCGTCTTCTTGGCCCCTGACTTTGACCGCTGGATGGAGGAGTCCGACGCGGAGATGGAGCTCCGTGCCAAGGTGTCCGCCCCCCCCCCCCCCCATCCAAGTCTCTGGTCCTGTAGGGGGGTCTGACTTACTAGAATGATACTTCATGATGTGTAATTCAGCCGTCACTTAAAATATAACTGTCATTTTTTAGTGGCATATTTGCATGTTCAAAATAACGTATGTTTGGGGGCAAACTTTAAAAAGTGCATTGCTATCCTCGGTCATCAATGTCAAAGCTAATGATCGTTTCCCTGAAAGGAGGAGAAAATCAGCAAAATCTCTGTGGAGTCTCGGTCACCCAAGGATCGTAAGTAACCTCGGCGTGTGACTGTGACTGCGGCCCCACTTCCGCGTCTCGATGCATGTGAGCAAACACGACTCCTCTCTCTTGGTGTCCTTCCAGCCTACCTGGGCCTGAAAAGAGGCTACCTCTTCATGTACAACCTGGTGCAGTTCCTGGGCTTCTCTTGGATCTTCGTCAACATGACCGTGCGCCTCTTTATCCTGGGACAGGGTGAGGGTTCATGGCATCCGTGTCTGTCGTTTAGCTAGGCTGCCGATACTCTGGGGGCAACCTGTGTTTTTGTTGCCATGGCAGCTGGAGGTCACATGCCCTGCGGAGACCTTGTGCCAATCTCTTACGAGAACTCACAGGAGCTATTTAAAGGCTGAAGGACAGGGCAGGATCTATGCTGCATGTGCGACAGGGGGAAAGTGTGTGCTGTACTGGAAAGGTATATCATAACAAACTGATGGGCCTCTCGTCTCCTCCCAGATTCCCTCTATGACACCTTCCACACCATTGCTGATATGATGTACTTCTGCCAGATCCTGGCTGTGGTAGAGGTCGTCAATCCTGCCCTGGGTATCGTCAGAACGGGACTCATGCCACCGCTTATCCAGGTTTGAACCTGCAAGATGAGGGCACTGCTCTCATAGGGCATTGTGGGTAGAGAGGCGTAGTCGTACCTGGAAACTGTTTGGGTCATATCAGGATGCAGCCTAGTTAAGTATTGAACATTATTAGTGTGCAACTTATCCGTCCACCCTTCTGTCAATGATCCCTCTTATAGTACGGGTTTGTGGTGAGCCAAGAGGCTGCTTCAGGAAGCATGCAATGTGAAAGCGATCCTCTCCTTGATGGGGCAGCGCTGATCACATCGTGAGAGTGATGCATCCTTTATGAAGCTCAGGCAAATGGATATGCTATAAAAATGTCTGCCAGGTCTCATCCTCGGATCATACCATAGTTGAAACATGTAGGTTGTTTCTATGGAATTGCCACCCATGCATCTGAACACGAGCCTCTTGTTCGTTTGTGCCCGTCGTGACGCGTGGGCAGCTGGTGGGAAGGAACGTCATCCTGTTCGTCATCTTTGGGAGCCTGGAGGACATGCAGAACAAAGCGGTGGTCTTCTTCGTCTTCTACCTGTGGAGTATAATCGAGATCTTCAGGTGAGGTCTGGGTCAGCCCTCGGGTTAAGGTCAGCGTTGCGGATAGGGTTAGCATTAGGCTATCTCTTATAAGCCGCTAGGTTTCACGTTGAGCCTATTGGGCGACGTTGAGTGTGTTGAGGATGTTGCCTGTGGGCTCTGAGCTTTTCTGCTCGCTGTAGGTACCCGTACTACATGCTGGCCTGCATCAGCACCGAGTGGACCATGCTCACCTGGCTCCGCTACTCTCTCTGGATCCCTCTGTACCCTATGGGGGTGCTGGCAGAAGGTCAGTGTCACCTGCTTATCCTGCATATCCAATCAGGGACGTGGTGACCGTGACACTAATAAGCCTGTGGGCCCCCCCCAAGCGGTGGCCGTCATCCAGTCGCTGCCCATCTTCGACGAGACCCGCCTCTTCAGCATCCCGCTTCCCGAAAGCTTGGGCAGCTCCCTGAGCTTCTCCTACTCGCTGCAGATCTACCTCGTGCTCATGTTCCTGGGTGAGTTGGCTGGCTGTCCCGTCCGTTTGTGGCTGACAATCGGCAGTAACAAGCCGGCATGCATCCGCGCCTAAACGCTGGCGGACCTTCTTCCCTCTCAGGTCTCTTCATCAACTTCCGGCACCTATTCAGGCAGCGAAAGCGCCGTTTACGCCCCAAGAGGAGGAAGCTGCACTGAAGCTGCTGGTCTCTAAATGACTGGGACAGCTCCTCCATTCTCTTGCTGCCTGTCTTCCTGCTGCCCACCCCAGCTTCGGCACTGTCCCCACCCATCCCTTCCTGTCCCCAACGGGCGTCCCTCAGCAAGGTGGCACTCTGGCCCACACTGCTCATCCCTGCTTAGTGCGTTGGGTTTGTATAGACCTCTTTGCATGGATAATCTGGCCTGAGTATTCAACTGTTCAAGTCACAGAACCACATGCATTGTTTCCGTTCCTGAAGAGGGCGCTGTAAAACCCCGCAGGTGTATCCTATTCGCTCTACTGCTCCAAGATAGCTGTCCGAGCCCCGTGTGGTAGGAGGCTGCAGAGCCTCTGCCTCCTGATACTCTTAGCTTTCGTGTTGCAAGGCCCCGCCCATCTCCTGCAGGATGCAGTGTGCATTCGCTAACCGTTTCCACGTCCACTCAAGCTTGTCTGCAATTCCATAGACGCAGTCGCCGTAAATAACTGTAAAATGAGACATTGACACTGCTGGTTTCCCTGGACAGACTGAACGTCATTTTGGCATTAAGAGGAAGCAGTCTGAATGCTGTCTGGAGCTGGAATAGTGATGATGCACCATTGCTGGACTTCTTATATTACTCAGCAGCATTAGCACACGCTCTGCTCCCCGGCCTGTTCACACACCTCCTCCCTGCTCCCCGGCCTGTTCACACACCTCCTCCCTGCTCCCCGGCCTGTTCACACACCTCCTCCCTGCTCTTATACACTTTTCCCATCCTCTTTATATTATCTAATATTTATATCTGATATTATTGATCAGTCAGAGGGTAGGTGTCTCTGTCGCATATTGAATCAGAATGCCGGCTCGGTTAAATGGTGCGACTCGCCTGACTCTGCTGGACTCCCAGAATGCAGTGGGTCGTGTCTCCCTGCTTATCACTCTGACCTCACAGTGTGAATCTCACAGCATGTGTTTCTATAGCAGTATTAACACCACATGTTCCTATCTGCCACCGCGCACACCAAATGGAGGACACCACAGAAATGTGACACGTTCTGTTTTTTCTGGACCAGAGTGTGAGGGGTTGGTGTTAATTTTTTTTTCTCAAAGCACAGGATTATGGGTCGTGGGGGGTTAGATGCGGGGTGATGAGTCCCACCATTGCAGGCATCTCCAAGCTGCTGCCTTCCACCATGTCCTGCCAGTGCAGGACACCTGCAGGGTGAGGGACACTGAGGGACAGTGCGCTTCTAAACCAGGCAACAAGATGGAGGCTCGTCTCATCAGTGAATAGACCAGTTTATGAAAGATGGTACTAGTAAATGTCATTCTTAAAATAAAGGTTGGGGGAAAAATGTGATGTGGGTTCTTTGCTTGAATGCTTTTAAATACGTAATTTTCTGCAGGTTGACATGACTGAATATGAACCCGGTAGTTTGGTTGTGGTAATGTTTCCTTAACTTGTAATTCCCTTAGTGGTCTAAGTTTGTAAAACTTGTCAACACCACATCTTCAGAAACATATAGCCTCAGCATGATTTTTTTTCAGATGTTTAATTTGACTCATTTCTATAATTTAGACAGGTTTCAATTTAAAACGGAACAAAAATGCAGGAAATGTTGCCTTGTGTTTAAGCTGGAATGACGGCGAATGGCAGGGACTGGCCGGCAAGATCTGCTGCCCAGTCATAGGCTCAACCCTCCACTAAACGGCAGATTTTTTCCTTTTTAAACCAGAACAAAACGGTTTAAAAAAAAGCATCAGGCCCTGACGGTGATTCCATTCAGCCAGTCATTCAGGGGTGGAGCGTGGCTCAGGGACTGCGGTGAATGGTATTGCCCATGGTCCTGCTCTCTGCAGCATCTCGCTCATGTGGAGTATGACAGAGCCCCATTCCCCCTCACAGGCGGTCGCGGTCACCGGCCCCTCCTGAGAAGTCTGTGAGCATAGGTGTGATGTTATGCTGGAATGCTGCGTACTGGGAGTCCCCTGTGCTGGCGAGTTTCAGCTGCTGTGCGGCATGCGACAGCTGGAAGGCGGCGTCGGGGTGGGCCGTGTCCGGCAACAGCGTGCACTCCCTCTCCAGCAGGTCCGCCACCCCCTTCAGCAGCTCCCAGAACCCGAAGGCGAGGGCCGCCTTCCGCAGCCGGTTCAGCTCCTGACACGACACCACGGACAGGCATTATGGCTCGCTGGGAGACCACACAGGGCTTCCCTACAGACAGGCACTATGGCTCGCTGGGAGACCCCTACAGACAGGCACTATGGCATGCTGAGAGACCACACAGGGCTTCCCTACAGACAGGCACTATGGCTCGCTGGGAGACCACACAGGGCTTCCCTACAGACAGGCATTATGGCACGCTGGGAGACCAGACAGGTGCCCCAGAGGCTCACCTTGTAAAAGGTCTGCGTCTTTTCTGGTAGCTTCCTGGCATTCCGCAGGATCTTCTGGACGTCAGTCTGTGTTGAACATCAAACAGCAGGCAGTAAGCTGAAACCAGTGGCTGATGTGTGACCTCCCCCAGGCGGGTAAGTGGCACTCAACGCGTGACACTCCACCCCCACCCCGGAATGGCATGCGGTCCCCGACACGTGTCACTCCACCCTCCCCTGAAAGAGTGAGCGCTACCTGATGCGTGACACTCCCTCTGGACTGCAAGTGGTACCTGCAAACCGCTGGGCTTAATCCACACAGTGACATTCTGAGCATAACTGCGCTTGTTCTTGGGCTGTAGTGGGAAAGGGCTTTTGCTGTCATCTTCACCATAAGGATTCTCAGCGGCATCTAGAAACGGGTCAAGAAATAACCCTGAAACCCATATTTCTGCACAATCTTTGAGTACATTTCAGTTATATTTCAGAATTCATTTTTGTGACACTCCCTTGAGTGTCCATGTGCAGATGTGTCTCTTTAGAGAGAAGGGTCTCTCCCCACCGCTTACCTGATGTAGGGCCCAGTTGGGAGATCTTTCCTAGCCAGGGAAGGGGCTCTGAGCCAGGCTCAAGAAGCGACATCATCAGGTTGGATTTCTTCTTGCTATCAGCCTGAGAGTATAATATCCCAAACCAGTCAGGGCTGAAAGCAGAGAGACAGAAGGTCAGGGGTGGACCTTTCTGTTTGTGATGACCTGCTGTGACATCAGAAAGACAGGAATGCGCCATGCTGGTCTCTAACCCGAGCTGTACGAGTGCCACCATGCCCTCCACCTTCAGGCTCCCATGCAGCAAAACGCAGAAGTTGGGGCTCTTTCCTGCCATCTGAGTGCTGGAGCTGTCCTCCTCCATCTCGTCAGGGGCCCCTGTTCCCAGTTCGTCTACGTCTGTAAATGAGGTTCGACAAATTGGTCATGCCTGAACATCTCTGATCACATGCTCATATCTGTGGGTTTTGTTACACATTTAGGTTGACGGGATGGACCTTTGTTCACAGCGATGGGTAGAACCAAGTGCCTCGATAAGACCGGCGGACTAGAAATGTCACCAATTTCGATGAAGCCAACAATCTCCAGTTCTGCAACAAAATCAATAGTCAACCCAGCATTTCAGGCCACTGAGAGTAGATAATGTTAAGAAGTTATAACCCTAAACATCAGAGAAGGTTTAGTCAGCACCAGTAAGAATGGTCCTGGGTGTGGGGTCCACTTCCTCGTCCAACTGGATCGGCTCGGGCCGAGGGAACACCTGCACATCTGATGACAGGTTCCCGCAGCGCAGCACAGCGTGGAATGGCGAGTACGCCTGGTCGATCAGTTTCCTGAACACAGACATGCAAACGTGACTGTGGTGTCTGATACACAACACCCAGCAGAACCAGCTCCACGAACAGGCAGCCCACAGCATAAGACAAAGGAGGAATGGAGACATACCCAAACATGGACTGCACGTTCTTCAAGCACAGCGGCCCCTCCATGGTGAAGATCTGACCTTCTCCTCCGTTCAAGTTAAGCAACTGCTCCAGGTTTTCCAAAGCGTCACCATACTGCAGCTGTCACATGCAAGACAGGACCCACGAACATTAATTCGTCATTAGCAGTTACACACACTGTACAAGGAAGCATGCAACAATGTCCAGTAACAACTCACAGATCTTCCTTCCATTAAAAACCTAAGAATTATAACAAGACTGCTTTTGTGTTGATTTTGTTTTTCGAAAACTATCCATAAACTGCACAACACATACCTCAGACCTCTGATTGATTCATTCATAAATATAATATAAAAAATGACATAATGAAACACATGCTGAGAAAAGCAGGAAATGAAAGGCGCTGCTCGGGGTGGGAGCAGAGCCACTGCGGTACCTCCTCTGCACTGGCGATGCACATGACGTACAGCTTTGACGGGAAGAGGAAAGGTAGAGGGAACTTTTTATCCTCCCCACGCTGCTTGATGGTCTGCAGAGAGTGGCGGAGAGAGCCACGTCCGATCCCGAGTGAGCCATCGGTGACCAGCACCACCTGGCAGGGACAACCGCTGCCCCACTCCTGCTGCACAACGTTGCTGACACCTTGCAGGGCCGCTTCTAAACACGTCTTATCATAATCCTCCAAATTGTTCAGGGCCTCCTAACAGAAAGGGAAACATTTTCCAAAGAAACAATAATGGTTTTGCATGGTTATCCCATGCGGCCAGCAGTCTTAACGTTAAAGGCGACTGGCCAAAGCTTGCTTTCTGAATTTAATACGATATGCCATATTAAGCGAGCAAACTATGCACAGACACTCCCTGTAACAAAGAGTACCTGCAGGGTGTTGTAGTCCCTGGTGAAAGGCACCATAAGCTCCCAAAGAGATGAGAACGCCAACAGTGCAGTGAACTCCAAACGATAGTTGGTGGCCATGTGTTCGAAGAGCATGGTCAGCCCGTGGATCGCCAGGTTCTTCCTCTGAAATTCCTCACTGCTTTCGACCACCACTGGCCGGGTCATGGACAGTGAGACGTCCATCATGACCACGGTCGGCATGGCTGCAGACTCACCTGCGCGTCTCCTGTGAAAAGCCCTTAAAAATGTCAGCACAGCAGGGGCGACAGTTTTGTTTCGCAAAAGCCACTACAGACGTTTCCGTACGCTTTACTATAAACCTGTTCTTCGGCTGTGTGACCCTTATGTCACGCACAGTTTAATGTTTCAGTCACAAACTACGGCTAGTCTACATCGCACTTCCAACGCGTCATGTTTTGCAATAGCGTAGATTAATCTAAGGAAGTTACGTGGAATATAACATAACTTCATACGATTCACTGTTACAGGCAGCATTAAAAAAATGCGAAACTATACATTAAGCAATACAGAGCCGTCGGGTTTCTCGAGTGTCTTAGTAACTAGAAATTACTAAACGCACGCAGGTTTTATTTTTTATTTTAAATATATTATTCGAAACAAATACCACAAATGGGTGTAAGTTATAGAAACCTATAAAAAGTCAAAAAATCCTCTAAATACAACCCTGCAACCAAACAACTTCTCATTCAAAACGCGGTCGCATAAATTACTTCTCTTACTTGTAAGTTTATTAAAAAATTACGGGAAATAAAAACACTTTAAAGAACTCGTCCTACCACACCTTTGGGGGAAGCAGCTACAGCGTAAACAATTCTACGAACTTCACCGGCAACAATAAAATCCCCTCACGCCATATAAACAAAACTCTGCGTCCGGTTTCCAGCGCTTGCGCGCCTCGAAAATGCGCACGTGAGGAACACTCACCGTTTCAAACTTTAGTTCCTAGAGGCACTTCGGGGATTTCCATTTTGATGCCGTGTGTGTGTGTGTGTGTGTGTGTGTGTGTATATATATATATATATATATATATATATATATATATATATGTGTGTGTGTGTGTGTGTGTGTGAAACGGTGAGTGTATGTGTATATTTGAGACTTTAAGAAATTATCAATGAACTTCAAACACTTAAAAAATTTATCATGAATTTTCAAGGACACGTTTCTGTGTCATATTGCTATCTTGACTACGACAAAACTTCAGATTTCTGATTTTCATAACAAAGATATGTTTAACCGCGAATGGATATAGATTATTTACAAATAAAACATCCTCTCATGCAAAGTATAGCTAAAGCTTTTTTTTTATTTTTTTTTATTATTATTATTCTAGATGCACCAAGGAATGCAATTAACACAAAGAGCATAGCACATTATCACTATTTCAGTTTAAAAATCTTGTCAAAATAGCTATTAATCTTAAAATGGATAGAATAGAATAGAATAGAATAGTGGTACTCCGTGTGGAAATTCTCCTTATATTTTGATGATAGCCTATATACACCCATTTTTGATGATATATCCAAATAGTTCGATTAAAAAGTAAACAGTTCAGAATAAACACTTTGGTAATCTTTTATGTGAATGCGTGCGTACAAATATGTCATATATCAATTATCTTCATACACGCTTCTTATAGCCTACTGTATAGAAAATCAAGGGTAAAATGCCAGAACAGGGTTCATATCTTTGGTGTACTTGGGAATTCTATGTAAGCAACTCAATTCTGTTTCTGTACAGACACGAATTTAAATAATGAATAAAGTGGGGGTTATTTTGTCAATAAATTAGATTTTATATTGTACATGCATAGGTGACCCCCCCGCCGAAGCGTGGACACCAGTGACGGTGTGGAAAGCACGCCTGTGTGTCCCATCACAGATAGGACAGATAACAGCGACAGTCAGTGAGCAGATCGCTCAGAAGCGGCCGCCATCGGTGAAAGTTGTCCAGAAGATAATGAGAGTGTGAGGGACGCCAGGGATAATCTGTTGATTAAAGCGTGCAAGCATTAGGCTTTATGCTGATGCGTGGAGAAGCGCGTCCCGGTTGGGCGTCCTGACCCGCGGCTGGGAGCGCACATCTCTGCAGGGTTCATCTATCTCCAGCAGGGATCCTCCACCATCCTGCGCTCTCAGGTAACTTTCGGCTGTTCTGCTCGTGTGAATGATTTGAATTCATTTTTAAATATAGGGAACGTGTAACATATTTTTTTTTAATGAGTTGCATGTCGAGAGACCTAAGAATCCTAATTGTTTTAGAGGGGATTTACAGCCGTTGAAAGGTTTGATCGAAATCAGTAAAAATACGTATTTTATAAAAGGTTTGCTCAAGTATGTATGTCGTTAAGCAGATTCTGTGGTTCGCTGAGTGTTCCGCGGTCTTTATCGCCATCGGATTAAAATGTACGTAAACGCAATTCTTTTTTTCCCTTTTTTCGTGTTTTCAGTTGGTATTCCATGCGATTTAATAGGTATCTTTCAGGGAAAGGAAATATTGTAATTTTGTAGCCATAGTAACAGGTGCGTGTTGCTTCACCTTGAGCTTTGAAACCTGTTCAGTATAAGTGCGCTATGGCTGCGCGTTCATATCAGACTGCAAGCGGTTTATAAAAATCGAAAAAAACTTCATCTAATTTACGCTTTATGTCTCCACTTCTCAACAGGTGCAGCCCTGAAGGATCTGTTTTAAAGATGAGATGAAACATATAAAAACCTGCTTGTAAAGGGAACTAGAAGCTGGATGGGGAAAGTGCAGTATTAATTACATTTATTTATGCGTGTGAATATTTGATCTTTTGTGAAAGAATGCATTTGTCACGAAGGCGGAGACTTCACTGGAGCCGGGCAGTGTTTTTTCTCTGTGGAGTTTTGATATGCTGTGTCTACCAGTTGACTTTAAGGTCCAGGCATTCAGAACCTTGGTTGGAGCGACAGATCGAGGATAAGCCTGGGACAGCGGACAGTGTGCTTAAATCTGACCAGCAGGAGCTCACGGTAACTACCCAACAGGCAGTAGAGCATCCGACCGAAAAAACAACCACTTCAGTCATAGAAGTTCCTCCTGTGATGACCTCAGCACCTCCTTTAATGACCACAAACCACACAAACCTTAAACATTGCGTCTACGTTGACCCAGAGCCCCCCAAACCCACCATGCCCATCCAAAGTCCTACACCCTACACTACACATGCCCCCAACACCACAGCGCCCTCCTCTGGCAGTGCCCCACGAGTGAAGGGCGAATACCCAGAGGACCTCTTCTCTGTGGATCAGAGGCGACAGGGTTGGGTCGTTTTGCATCTTTTTGGGATGATCTACATGTTTGTGTCTTTGGCCATTGTCTGTGATGAGTTTTTCGTGCCCGCCCTTGGCGTCATCACAGATAAGCTGGAAATTTCGGATGATGTGGCCGGGGCCACATTCATGGCGGCCGGCGGCTCGGCTCCTGAGCTCTTCACTTCGCTCATCGGGGTGTTCATCGCACACAGCAACGTGGGCATCGGCACTATCGTGGGCTCTGCGGTCTTCAACATCCTCTTTGTGATCGGCATGTGCGCTCTCTTCTCACGGGAGATCCTACACCTCACCTGGTGGCCGCTCTTTCGGGACGTGTCCTTCTACATTATGGACCTCATCCTGCTGATTATCTTCTTCCTGGACAGCACCATCATGTGGTGGGAGAGTATTCTGCTGGTACTGGCGTACTTGTCCTACGTGTGGTTCATGAAGTATAACGTGCAGCTGGAGAACGCTTTCAAGACGCAGCTCAACAAGCACAAGAACATCGTGAAGGCCATCGCCCTAGAGGAGCCAGAGAAGGTCGGCCTCGCTCTGCTCATTTTATTTGCAGCCTTTTCACACATTCGCTTAAGTTATCTGCAGACAGCTAGACCTGCTATGAAAAGAAAAATATGATGTAATTCATGTTGAGATGTTAGAAATACAAGGTCACAATAGGAGACAAAATCTCACATTTATACAGTTTGAAAAAAACCGATTACAGAATATGCACTTGTGATAATGCTTACAGGATTCCACTATGATCACTAGCATAAAACTTCATATTTCATTTATAAACTGTCCATTTCATTCTCTAGAATACATAGTTTAAACTTCAGAAATATGCAACAAGATATTTAAAGATGTTTCATACATTATAAGCCATCTTAAACTTATACAATTAGTTGTCTTAGAAATGTGAAGGGTATGATTTCTATTTATAGAGAGCGGTCGTAATTTGTTGAATTTAGGCCTAATGATGATGAATAATGAGCAGTAGATAGCAGTGTATAACTGTTTTATGTACACTGCCTTAATCAACATCTCATGCATTGACTTAAATTAACATGTATTGTACTTGTATTGCTTTTCCTTGTGTATAAGAATCTTTAATTATACGGCCATATTTTGACATGGGCAGCGCCTCTCGTGTCCAGCTGCGAGCCAATGGTTGTTCTAATTTCAGCTCATGTTTATTAATGAGCCGCATTGAAGGGCTCATTGGAAACGTTGCCCTGCCTGTTAGTGTTTGATGAGCAGAAATGAGATGGATTCCCAGATTTGTAAGTAATGTGAGAGTAATGTGAGAGGGGCCCGGCGTGACCGTCAAGTGCCTGATGATGGATTCTGATCATCACAGCTTTGATTGTGTGTTGTTCGGCACTTGTTTATCATTTACGCCACGTTTGTGTAATTTTCCACACAGTCGTTTGGCAGCCCATTTTTAGGCTGCCATTCCTTCATTTTACATGACATATTGACACGTAGCATCTTGATGATTCTGTAAGATACAAGGGGCAACAACCCGTTTTATAACAAAGATTAATATTTTTGTTTATTCTCTAAGCAAACTGGCATTTAACTTGTCTTAATTTAGTATGCTTCCTGAAACAAGCCGTGTAACAGGCTTGGACCCCCTTCAGTCTCTCCCTGCCTTTTCCCGCATGTAGAGACAAAGGAAGCTGTTGTAACTCCATTGGAACCAAAGCCGATCACCTAGCGTAGCAGCTAATCCTCTGAGGGACTCTGGCTGGAAAGTGGAGCACTCCGTGAAGTGTAACTGAAAGGCTAAAGCAAGCTCATGCTAGCGAAAAATCCGCAGTGCTCCAGACCACTAAGCCCTCCTCTGAAAATTCTGACTCACCTGGGGGATGCATCTCTTTTCCAGCAATTGTGAATGTGAACATGCAACGATAAGAAAAAATACTGGCAAAAAAGGTCACTGATAAGTGGAAGACAACAGTCATCCTGCAGTGCAATAGCCCCTGCATTTTATGTGAGAGGAATGGGTCGGCTTTATGTCTGATTAAAAAATGGAATAAATCACCACTCTGCACAGGTCTATGCCACGTAACCACTCCTTGTTCACAAAGCTGAGATCGTCTGCCGTGTTTTACGTCTACATGCAACAGCATTTCACTGCATCGCCAATTTGGCAAACATGAGGCCTGAGCCTCCAGCCAATGACGGCGTGCCAGTGCTCACACCCGGCATCACTGCACACAAGCTGCCACCTTCCTCGTAGTTTGAACCACACTGTTCCTCTGTTAACAAAGGTTAGGCTGAGTGGAAAAGGCGCTATAAAGCAGGCAGAGCTTGTCTGTCTGTGAGGATACAGCCATTGTCATCCGGCCCAGAGCTCTGATCATACGAGTGGGATCACTGTAAACTGGGCTTGAATTCTTAATTTTCTGATACGCGTGCAGATCTGTACATAACTGTAACCTTATATGTTGTGGTCACTGTCAGAGGAGCAAATGATTAACAGCATTTTATCTGATGAGAGTGAGCTTGTGTTCATGCAGTCGGCTTGTTTAAGTGGGGCATGGTTGTGCAGAATCAGACCTTGTGATATGTCTTACTGATCTACACATTCATCACATGTGGCTGTGAG